GATTTGTGTGAGGGTGCTGTGTGTGTGGGTGCTGTGTATGATGTGTGTGAGAGTGTTGTGTGTGAGTGCTGAGTGTGATAGTGCTGTGTATGATGTATGCGAGTGCGATGTGTGTGAGAGTGTTGTGTGTGATGTGTGTGAGTGCTGAGTGCTGTGTGTGAGAGTGTTGTGTGTGATGTGTGTGAGTGCTGAGTGTGATAGTGTGAGTGCTGTGTGTGTGGGTGCTGTGTGTGTGGGTGCTGTGTGTGTGAGGGTGCTGTATGTGATTGATTTGTGGGAGGGTGCTGTGTGTGTGGGTGCTGTGTATGATGTGTGTGAGAGTGTTGTGTGTGAGTGCTGAGTGTGATAGTGCTGTGTATGATGTGTGCGAGTGCTGAGTGTGATGTGTGTGAGAGTGATGTGTGAGAGTTCTGAGTGCTGTGTGTGAGAGTGTTGTGTTTGATGTGTGTGAGTGCTGAGTGTGATAGTGCTGTGTATGATGTGTGAGAGAGTGCTGCATGTGATGTGTGTGAGAGTGCTGAGTGTGTTGTGTGTGATGTGTGTGAGATTGCTGAGAGTGCTGTGTGTGAGAGTGCTGAGTGTGATGTGTGTGAGAGTGCTGTGATGTGTGAGATTGCTGTGTGTGAGAGTGATGTGTGTGAGAGTGCTGTGTGAGAGTGTTTTGTGTGATGTGTGTGAGTGCTGAGTGTGATGTGTGTGAGAGTGCTGAGTGTGAGAGTGCTGTGTATGATGTGTGTGAGAGTGCTGTGTATAAATGTTGTGTGTTGGGGTAAATAAACAAATAAAACAAAACTATGGGGGGGTAAATAAACAATTTTAAAAAAAACTAAGCAGGCATTAAATCCCCCCCCTCCCTTCTTAGAGTTCACTCTCGCGAGAGCAGACTAAGCATGTCTGAGATATCACTACCCTGAGTATGGGTCTTTTTTTTTTTTTTTAACTGTCCCAAAATTCTAGCATTCCCAGCCATCAATAAAGGGGTGTAAGAAAACTGATCATGACAGATGCAGAATGATTTTTTTTATTCGCAAGAATATCCCCATAGTCCTTCTTGTGACCAAACATTAGACTACCCCTGGTATGTATATGGATGATGTAATATTTCCTTGTGGCTTATTATTTATTGCTGAAGAACTGCTTTAGCAGGTAATTGCTATTCTTTTTAGGTGCTCCACAGCTGTCACTTCAGTTGCAAACAAATATTTTGGGTGAGCCTTGACCACACACAATGCATGAAAAAAATGGATCTGAAATTAAACTGCTTTATTCAAACTTAGCTCCTGGGGAAAAATGAAAACTGCAGTCCAAGACTATATGTGCCAATACCTCATATTTTATCTACTATGAAAATGATTACACTGGGTCTCTTGTGTTTTTTGTACTCACCTCTTCAGTGATTTGGTGCCAATGACTCATTTGTTTCCCTTTAATTAGATACATACTGCCATCTGTAAGGAGAAGCCCTGGATTTTATCTGTTATTATTCCACTCTTTGTAGCGGTGTTTACACAACAGTGGAATCATTGCTGCTAATTTCTTCATATGAGCCAAAACAGACACATTTTAAATAACCCAACCCTCTACTCTGAATAATTGCTAAATCAACAATATAGAGAAATTCACACATGTTTAAACACATTTGGTATCTGTATCATACATCTTTTAAGTAAATTACTGGATAGAGGCCTAAACTGTCAATATGTATTACTGTGCTAAGGCTTCACTGAAACATATCACAAGTGTATTCATTCAAATTACCTCCAAACATAATATTACTATTTTTTTCTATTCGATGTATGTACCAGTCTGCATGCAGTTATTCACCTTTGCCTGCGTATGTCTTTCGACTTTTTATTTCCTTTCCAATTTAATGTCCATATTTCCCTCCAAGGTCCATGTATACATGGGTAAAATCACGATTTGCATTGATTAGGCATACATTTTTTCTTCGCCAGTGCTGGTCTTCACAGTAAGAAATAAACATCTACTTTATTAAGGCCCTCTGCATCTGACAGAGCAATTATAAAAGTCCTCCCTGCCATCTCTCTTAAAAACATCAAGCACAGAGCTGCATTATAGCAACACAGGAGACCTGAGCAAAGTCACCTTTCACCTTGCACTCAAAGTATTGGGACAACTGACCATTATACCTTTATACCAACAGGAATTTTTATGACTTAGCATTCTAAATATACAGACATTTAAATATACATGGTATCCCTTTGCAGCTCTAACTGCTTCTACTCTTTTGCGAAGACGTTCCACAAGATTTTGTGTTTTTCTGTGTAGATTTTGCCCATTCATCCAGTAGAGCATTTGTGAGGTCAGACACTGATGTTGGACAAGAAGGCCTGGCTCACAATCTCCGTTCCATTTCATCGCCAAAGTGTTTTAACCCCTTAAGGACACATGACATGTGTGACATGTCATGATTCCCTTTTATTCCAGAAGTTTGGTCCTTAAGGGGTTAAGGGGTTGAGGTCGGGGCTGTGTGCGCTAGTGAACTTGCTTTATTCACTGGGGCATAGTCATGCTGGAATAGAAAAGGGCCTTCCCCAAACTGTTACCACATAGTTGAAAGCATTGTCCAAAATGTCTTGGTATGCTGGAGCATTAAGATTTCCCTTCACTGGTAAGGGAAAAGAGGCCTATCCCAACCCCTGAAAATCAGCCCCATACCAATATGCCTCCTGCACCAAGCTTTACAGTTGGCACAATGCAGTCAGGCAGGTAACATTCTCCTGCCATCCGCAAACTCAGACTCATGTTTCATCATTCCACAGAACACTGCTCCACTTTACACCACTCGATCTGATGCTAGGCATTGTACTTGGTGATGTAAAGCTTGCATGAAGCCGCTCAACCATAGAAACCCATTCCATGATGCTCCCGCCGCACAGTTTTAATGCTGATATTAATGTCAGTGGAAGTTTGGAATCCTTCAGCTATGGAATATCAGAACTATGTAATTCTATACTTTTCTACATGTGTAACTTCAAGCAGCTAGCTCAGACCTATAGTTTGATACATAGTCGAGTAGATTTCTCAAAGTGTTGTGTTCTCAAATATGGTGCAAAGTGCTCTGAAAATAATTGACAGTCACAGTTGTGATTGGTGAAATTTAAAGATAGTGGTAAGCAAGACTCTATCCTTAAAATTTTACTTTGCCCTCTGACCTTTTGTGCTTTGTCCATTTAACCACATGTGCCCATCTCCTGACCCAAATGAGAGGACAAGAACTCTTCAATGCCATGAAGCATGAAGCCGCTCAACCATAGAAACCCATTCCATGATGCTCCCGCCGCACAGTTTTAATGCTGATATTAATGTCAGTGGAAGTTTGGAATCCTTCAGCTATGGAATTAGCAGAATTTTACGCACCATGATCCTCGGCACTTTGTGATCTCGCTCTGTGACTTTACGTGGTCTTCCACTTTGTTGTTGAGTTGCTGCTGTTTCTAAATGCTTCTGCTTTCCAATAATACCCCTTATAATTGACAGTGGAATATCTGGCAGGGATGAAATTTCACAAACTGACTTATTGCATCCTATCACAGTCCCATGCTTGAATTCATTGAGCTCTTCAGAGTGTCCATTTTTTTAAAATAAATGTTTGTAAATGCAGACTGCATGGCTTGGAGCTTCATTTTATGCACCTGTGGCAATGGATCTGAATGAAACTCCTGAATTCAATAATTAAGACGTGTATCCCAATACTTTTGTCCATATAGTATATGTACACTCTATGAGCCCCCGAGTTCGTGGCTTTGAGATGCAGGTCTATGTTCCAGCCTGGGGCTGGGAGTTGGTCCTACTTCGCCACTTCTGTGGCGCTGTCCTCACCATCTAGAATAACTGTGTCTGGCAAGCGACCTAAGGCATTGGATGAATTACTGTTTCACTATAGTTGTTCTCCTGTTCCTAAGGCATAGATTTCTCTTTTCTCGTATTGAGCTTTTATGATGTGTCTAGTCTCCTGTGTTAACAAAGCCATTCCGTTATACATTATAGATTAGCATGTTATATTTTTTCTAATACCCTCACCTCAGCCTACTTGTCCTAGTATAGATCTCTAAAAATTGTGTAACTTACAATTGCGATTAACACAGTGCTTGCTCGATCACATACTTGCTTATTTTTACTTATCATTACCAATCCTCTATAAGTCGCACATACTAATTATGCACACGTCTATATACATCTGACCTGCTCTGCACTCAGTCTTGAATATGGATATCGACAAGTAAGCTTAGCTTATTCCAATCTTATGTTTCAGCCTTGTTATATTTATTTATCTCATGAGCATCATCTGAAGAAGAATTGCCGTCTTTTTTCTGAAAAATTATGCTTCCACAACTATGCCAGAACTCCCAAATCAACATGCAAGCATCATGATTCAGACTTCACAAAAGATTTCTGCAGATAACCTTTGCATCAAAACACGGTTTTAAACATAAATGGTTTGTTTTAACCAAAGCATGGGTTGTGATCCAGAAGGACCAATGACCAGAAACCAGCCATGGTTGTACAGTTTTGACCTTATAGATCTCATCAACATGACACTGGTACTGGTATGGAAGTTAAATTGTCTATGTTATTGCGTAGCTAAGTGCCAACAAAGTATGGTGAGACCAAATACATTGAAACGCTCTCCAATTTGATGCAGATTGAAGTAGTATTGTTGTGTGTCACATGGATATCTTCAATCAGACTTTGGAATGTTTGCCTTGAACACAGAAATTCAGAAAAATCATGTTTTCACAGCCATGTTTTCCCCGAATTCCCAGCTCGACATGCAAATGAGCATGATAAGCATCATGGTTCAGACTTCACCCTCATTTCTGCTGGTACCCTTAGTAATGGAACACTGTTTTAAACACAGTTTTTCTTTTAAGCCAAAGCATTGATTATGATCCAAAAGGACCAGTGGCTAGATACCAGCTATGGACACAGTTTTGACCTTGGGTCTCGTCAACAAGTATTAGTATACGTGTGAGTTAGCTTTCTCTAATGTTTTAAAACCACCAAGGTTCTTCTATTCATATTACTGACTTAACACGGTTTCTCCTCATTTAAAGGTATCTTATTATTATCTAATTTCTTTGTTATTTCCTTCTGAAAAACGTTTAATTACCAGCATTGTAAGTAAGTTAATTTGCTATGTATAAATTTCACTATGATAAAACAAACAAAAAAAATTACTCTGAATTACTTTAGTTTGGTGACAAGTGTTATATAGAAAGCAACCATGGGAGCCTGATTTGTCCACATTTTCAATAACCGATTCATTATGTTCTAGGAAGGTATTTTATCTTCCAGTGCATAATATAGTATATGTACATGTCACAATCAGGATATATATTTTTTATAAAGAAAGAATACGTTGAAACTGGATGCAATGTTGGTCCAACTTCCCATAATAATGAAGAATTATGAAGAGTTAGACTTATCTCAAAATTCATTCAACATAAATTGAAAATACTATTAAAACAAATACAATTTCAGAAAATACTTCAAACTTGTAAAACTCTTCAGTTCACTGAAATAATGTAGGACTTAACAGAGTGTTCCATTTGTCTTATTTAATAGAACTATCCATTCCTCAAGGCACAAGTAGAAAGGTTACATGATCCTGGCTAATATTCAGACAATAAATAATAAGCTCGTAGTAAGAAGCATATACTGAAAGTGAAACATTTATTCACATATAACAGAACCCTGTAAATTAAAAAAAAAAAAAAAGATTATTTAACATATGCAGTTTATCCAATTCACCTTTTATCTTAAAGGTACCCAAAATATGTAATTTGGCAGTTTACAGAAGGAGTGTGATATGGCCTGGACAATACCGGTCAGTGTATTTCATACATTTAGTAGAGTATACCGCTAGATTAAAAACCCACTTTTATCTTTCTGTTTTGTAAAAATATGTAAATCTGTATTAATAAAATAATCAAAAAAATAAAATAAATATGTACACAAATATTTGGAGGTTCTTTCTGTATTCATTCAAGAGTAACTTTGTTTCTCCTCCAGTGGACAATCTATACAACAACTTTCCATAGTCAATCAAGTTATTGTCATAGGCAGTGATTGTGTGAATGTATTACTGTAAGGATGTTAAGACTGGGGAACTATCTGTCTGTTTTGATAGTCAGATAAATGCATAAAAAATTATAATTGATTATTTTCACCTAGAATAAAAAAACTGGCAAATAAACAGTGAGTGAACCATAAAACTTTGGGATTTGAACTTAAATATTTGTTTAACGTTTAGAAACATAGAAACATAGAAACATAGAATGTGACGGCAGATAAGAACCATTCGGCCCATCTAGTCTGCCCTGGTTCTGAGGAAAGTCCCCAGGTGGGACTAAAATGGCGACCTGCTCTTAAAATCTTTGATTCCACACAGCTCTGTGGATGCTCATAATAAATATGAATGAATAAAGAAAAGCTGAAACATAGAACATAGAAACATAGAAACATAGAATGTGACGGCAGATAAGAACCATTCGGCCCATCTAGTCTGCCCAATTTTCTAAATACTTTCATTAGTCCCTAGCCTTATCTTATAGTTAGGATAGCCTTATGCCTATCCCACGCATGCTTAAACTCCTTTACTGTGTTAACCTCTACCACTTCAGCTGGAAGGCTATTCCATGCATCCACTACCCTCTCAGTAAAGTAATACTTCCTGATATTATTTTTAAACCTTTGTCCCTCTAATTTAAGACTATGTCCTCTTGTTGTGGTAGTTTTTCTTCTTTTAAATATAGTCTCCTCCTTTACTGTGTTGATTCCCTTTATATATTTAAATGTTTCTATCATATCCCCCCTGTCTCGTCTTTCCTCCAAGCTATACATGTTAAGATCCTTTAACCTTTCCTGGTAAGTTTTATCCCGCAATCCATGAACCAGTTTAGTAACAAAGTGAGTGAGTTTATTCCATTCTATCTTCTTTATTTAGTGAGACTCACTCACTTTGTTTGAGCTACACTGAAAAAGTTTTTAAATTATGTATTAATTTAATCTAGTGTTGACTATAATGATCAGAATTGTTAATGGCTTCTGTTAATATCGTGGGATGATTAAAAGATCATGGGAACTGAACTCTACAACTTTCCAGGGAAGTAAAGCAAAGCTGAAATAACAGTACCCCTGGTTGGGTCATAACATTCTTCAAATATAGGGATCAAAAGAAATATTAAACAGGATACATGAGTACAACTGTAGGTGAATGAGTTCTCTAGCTCATCAAATAAGCTCAATCCTTCTAAAGACAGCCCCATGTAGTATTAAAATAGTTGTGTATATATCTAACTCATATTTCAATCAATTGTATCAGAAGCCATCTAATAATCCATGTAATAGTTTAAAGAGACACTTCCTCCTTCTTGATAAATGTTTAATCAGTTGCATTAAACATGAACCCAGGAATATTAATATTATATTTAATACATATTAAACAAATGTGTGTTTGTGAGGTGTGACAAATAAAATGAAATGTAGAAATTCACAGTTCTGTATCCTGCAACTGGGTGCCTCCATCTTAGCTCCTTGTCAATAATTGTTATAAGTTCCGTCCTTTACACCTGGCAGTCAGCATAGACAAAACAAGTGGAACAACTCTGCCATGGTTTATGATGCAATAGATTATTAAATCTTTAATACAAATGTAAAATAATATGTTTCATCTCATGAAAAAAAGCTAACACTAGTTATAGATGATATTCAATATTTAATTAAATGGTGTTAGTTCCTCTTTAAGATATGCCTGCTTTCTGCAATTATTCTTGATATATATCTTACTTAAAGGGAAGCAATAGTCAAAAATTGACCCATATTCTAATGCAATATATATATATATATAGAAAAAATTGGCTGGATTGTTAATGTAGATGTAGATATATAAAGGGAATCAACACAGTAAAGGAGGAGACTATATTTAAAAGAAGAAACACTACCACAACAAGAGGACATAGTCTTAAATTAGAGGGACAAAGGTTTAAAAATAATATCAGGAAGTATTACTTTACTGAGAGGGTAGTGGATGCATGGAATAGCCTTCCAGCTGAAGTGGTAGAGGTTAACACAGTAAAGGAGTTTAAGCATGCGTGGGATAGGCATAAGGCTATCCTAACTATAAGATAAGGCTAGGGACTAATGAAAGTATTTAGAAAATTGGGCAGACTAGATGGGCCGAATGGTTCTTATCTGCCGTCACATTCTATGTTTCTATGTTTCTATGTTCTATGTTTCAGCTTTTCTTTATTCATTCATATTTATTATGAGCATCCACAGAGCTGTGTGGAATCAAAGATTTTAAGAGCAGGTCGCCATTTTAGTCCCACCTGGGGACTTTCCTCAGAACCAGTACAACTCCATAACATTCAAAACATGCTATATATATATATATATATATAGCCATAAGATAATTAGAAGAAAGCAGTGTATCTACTTACCACCACTGTGCGCAGATTAGCCCAACGTTCTCCCGGTGCTCATGTACATGTCAGTCCGTGTCTCCGCCCTCTACATGACGTGATGTGATGATGTCATGAACACGCATTCCCATAGCAACGCGTGTTTACAAAGTGCCGGACTGCTGTGCTCGGTTCCCATAAGTGACACATCTGAGGCATCTGACACATCCGTTTTTTTGTACCTGTGATCCTGGTGAGTAACTTTCCTGAGTCTGTCTTGACCAACAGGTCTCTAAGACTTTTATTTTTTCTGTAGCAGAACATCAGAGTTTATTCAGACACTTTCGGTAATGTCTTATCTTTATCTAACAACCTCCAATTATCTTTAACAATATTTGTCAATTTAGTTGTAGCCGAGTTATACATACTTGGAAACACTATTCTTTCCTCTTGATTTTTCTGAATTTGTTTTGTGTTCTCTCCGGCTTGTTCCAATGTCTCCTGTAAGCTTTTGGGATGGTAGCGTCACTTCAAAAATGTTTTAGTCATCTCCTCTAGTTGTCTTTCCATATACATCATATTTGAATTGTTTCCTATTACTCTGAGGTATTGTGCTTTCATTAACAATGTTATAAGTACTTTCAGATGTGCGCTTGATACATGTAATATTGTGTTTTTATCCTTTGGTTTAGTATAAAGACTATATTGCACTTGTCCATCAGATACTGGTATTTCTAGATCCAAATATTGCACTTTGTCCATGGAGATGTTAGCCCTCAATTTAATAGGGTTAGGTAGTGCATTGAGGTATTGCACCATGTCATGCGCCTCCTTCTGGCTCCCCCTCCAGAATAGAAGCACATCATTTATGTATCTGTAATATCTTTCTTCAAATTGGTACATAAACGCATTTGCGTACATGGGGGCCATTGCCGCCTCCATCGATGTGCCCGCTCTTTGTATATACCACTTGTATATAGTTGTTATGGAGGGTAAGTGCCAAGAGTTCTGGTGCATATTCAATTGGAGGACCTTCGTAATGTTTGGATTGTGTTAATACCTCCCTGATTGCATCTATGCATGGTTCAAGAGGTATTACTGAGTACAAGTTCTTCAGGTCCATCGTAATCAGTATGGATGTATGTCCATCAAATGTCACATTTTGCTTCCCCTCAATGAGTGTTGCCAAATCCCTTATGCATGTAGGCAAATGTTCAATAGGATGTTTAAAAAGAAAGTTAAGCCATTTGGCAATAGGCTCCAACGCCCCCTCTATAACTGATACTATAGCATATAGTTATATAGTTATATAGATACACTGCTTTGTTATAAGTTTCTTATGGCTATATATATTATGTTTTGAATGTTATGGAGTTTTATTGGTCCTGAGGAAAGTTCCCAGGTGGGACTGAAACGTTGATCTGCTTTTAAACTCTTTGATTCCCAAACAGCACTGTGGATGTTCATAATAAATATGAATGAATAAGGAAAAGCTGAAACATCTACATTAAAAATCCATGAGTGCAGCCCATTTTTTAAATTTTTGTATGATAAGCAAAGGCTGGGCACCCGGTAAACATACTTAATCTAAGCAAGTGTTCAAGGACTTTTTGTATTTTGTGTATACATATATATAACTGAAAAATTAGGGTTCACTCCACAGGATTTGTGCAATCACTTTGTTATTTTAATACATTTAATAAATTGAAAAAACCATATACAGAGTCCCGATCAATGTTTCCACCCCAATAGAGTCTTTCTCAAGATCAATTCGTACAGTGTATGTAAGTACAATAAATATATAGAAAAATAAAGTGACTTACCAATCAATGTGATACCCCTATGTGTACCTGTGCCCGGAAGTGCTCATGTGGGACACGTGACCACCAAGGGAAACATGATGATGTCTATAAGACTAAGAAATAGCTTATTTGTTGTTTCCTGGATTTCAAATTTTTGGAAAATTCTATTTACATTTACATCCAATATTTATATTCACTTTTTGCTATTATATATTTAGTGTTTATCTATTACATGTTAAAAGCTCCTGGATACCCACATGCTCATATATGATGATGTCGGATGCCTACCTCCGTGGAGCTTGGGAACTAAGCAACGAATATACAAAAACCTGTGTAACCGAAGGAGCTGGTGTGACCCCTGTGAGCTACAAGAAATGTGGTTAATATGATATGGAGGACAAAAATCTATAGTCTTCTTAACTACTTGTTTACTTAGATCAGCCTATCTGCCAAAATGATGTGGGAGAAAAGTAAGATGTGGGGAAAAGATCAAATTCGGTGTGATGACAAATATAATGTGTGAGTGAAATACGTGAAATAGACAGAAACAACTACCAACACCTAAAGGCAACAGGGTGAATAGAAACCAGCTTAAATAATCATACAGCAATATTCTGTAATGTGGAACTCGTACATAAAACTCATAAATTAAACTTGTAAATGACAGGTCAGGTTTGGTAACTGTCAAAAAGTCGGGACAATATATGTCAATCTATATTAACTATTTACTAATACATAAATTAGAAACTTCTATCTAAATAGAGGATAACCTTCTGATAAATAAACAGTAATAATAATGATAATCTGACCCAAATGGTCTATAACAATATATAATGTTTCTATAGGCAGGTGCTGTGAGTATATACCAGACCAAGGAAAGAACACAACTGCCAGAACCTGCACACGAAAGAACAGGAAAATCACCGACCAGTGTACAACATCAAACAAAGACAACAAAACACATACTCGAATGCCACAAAAGAGCAAACCGAGTCAACTGCAATCTAATATTAGATCACAATCAACTCAATCCACTCCCCCACGACACCCAAACACATATCCAATCTTTCCCGTCCGACAGCACGCACAGGCCAACGACTCCCCCATGCACAAGCCCCGACAACTGCACTCCATCCCTGGTTTGCAATGAGGTATGAGAGCTCTAAAAATAATAAATGTATATGTAAATGGTGTGAAAAATATGCAAAACATATACAAGAAAATGTACAAACATTTTTTTTACTGAAAAATATACAAAAAAGTATATACTAACATAATGGTGCACCCAGACAGGTACAAAAATGGTAAAAATGGTAATGATGAAAAAATGAAAATGTGCTAAAAAAGAATATGAAAAATATAAAAATATATGTAAAAAAAGAAATACAAAATATACTTAAACAGTACAAAACACACAAATATGTGTACTAGAGTTAATGCAACTACTGTTAGAAATAAATTAAACAATCCATGAAAAATCCCCAAGAATCATCATATGTGAGCTCTGATTCCTAGGAATAAGTTACTTGCCAATCAATAATCAAAAATAATTACAAAAACATGTAGTATAGAATGTTCTCATTTAAACCTTGTGGTGCCACCATGTCTAATCTGTAGATCCACATGGCTTCTCTTTGAAGTAGCATCCTGGACCTGTCTCCTCCTCTTGGTACTGGTGGTATATGATAGATGGCCATGAAGCGTAATGTAGGTAGTCGGTGATTGTCGAATAAAAAATGTTTGGCTATAGGTTTGTCCGTTCTCTGATCTCTAAAGGCTATCATAATGCCTGATCGATGTCCTCTGATGCGATCCCTCACAGTAAGATCAGTTTTATCCACATACGATAGCCTACATGGGCATGTAATAAGGTAAATTACATGATCCGTGGTACACGTGATGTAATGGTTGATAGGGATCCTTTAATTGCTGTGGGGATGCAAGAAAGAAAAAACGCTTGTAAAGAAAAAATGCATGTAACGCAGCCACTGCATTTGAAACAACATGTTTTGAAGTGTCCTTTGGGTTTGCTATAACATTGTATTGGATCGCTTTTCACAAGGACATCACATAGATTTTGATTTATTTTGTAGTTAATGATGGGTGGTCATTTTTGGAAAACATCAGGTAAATTTTTGTCTGAACTGAGTATTCCCCAGTATTTATAAATTGATTTTTTATTTCCACTGGGCCTGTGTGGTACGTTACAGGAAGGTGCATTTTAGATTTTGCACAGGGCCGGCACGTCCATAAGGCGGCACAAGCGTCCGCCTTAGGGCGCCAGAGCAGGGGCACGCAAAAATCCGAATCCCCTGCCTCTGGCTGGGGACTCTGATTTTTCAACTCACTTTACTCTCCCTGCAGCATGCAGCCAGTGGAGTTGGCTGGCCTCTCCTGATGATGTCAGGAGGAGGGGGCGTGACATCCACTGCTCTTCTCTCAGACCTCTGGGGAGTCTGGCGGAAGAGCAGTGTAAGTCACGCCCCTTCTTCCTGACATCTTTAGAAAGGGCTGGCTGACTTCACTGGCTACAGGCTGCAGCAGGCTCCAGGCTATAGATCCTGCCCCCCCCTCCCTGGCCCAAGGTAAGCTTCAGGGAAGGGGGGAATAATAGGCAGCATGCAGCCAGCGGAGTTGGTTGGCCTCTCCTGATGATGTCAGGGGGAGAGGGCGTGACATCCACTGCTCTTCTCTCAGACCTCTGGGGAGTCTGGGGGAAGAGCAGTGTAAGTCACGCCCCTTCTTCCTGACATCATTAGAAAGGGCTGGCTGACTTCACTGGCTTCAGGCTGCAGCAGGCTCCAGGCTATAGATCCTGCCCCCCCTCCCCGGCCCAAGGTAAGCTTCAGGGAAGGGGGTAATGCACTTGTTTTTTTTAAATCTAATTTTTTTAAGCAGCCGCACCACTACTCCTGTGCACTCCTCTACACACCTAAACCCCAACCACAGCCCATGTCCCCTTCCTTTACAGCCCATGTGCCAGCACCTGTCCCCCCTTTCAGCTCCTGTCCCCCATTTCAACTTCTGTCCCCCCCTTTCAACTCCTTTCCCCCCTTTTAGCTCCTGTCCCCCCTTTTAGCTTCTGCCCCCTCTCAGCCATTGCCCCCTCTTCTTCCCCTGCCCCACCTACAGCCACTGTCCCCCTAAATAGCCCCTCTGTCCCCCACCGTAGCCAAACGTAGTAATCGTAGTACCCTCATATATTGAGACATGAGTATTGAGTCCTTGAGCGCTTTTATCTAAAAAATGCAGGTTTGCATCAGGGTATCAACTATTCATTGTTTACCAAAAAGGTGAGTGCCAAGCTTTATATATATATATTTGGGTTATTACATTAATGAAAAGATTTGCAGCTGTCGTTAAGTAATCTGACTGTACTATACAATGAAGTACATTTCCATTTTTTTCTAACAGAAATTATTGATTAATCTGTAGATTATATTGCTAGAATTTAAAACGCAATAGTGTCCTTGATGGCTCTAAATTATTGACCATCCAGATTATTCTTACTATAGTAGAATCAAAAATAACAGTCTTCATAAAACTGTGGGATATTTGAAGGATATTATGCCCACATACAGAAGATATTTTTTATTTAAAGTCATTCACTTTCTGTATCCATAGTTGGCTTATATAATGAGAGCCAGAGGCAACCTCAGTGGATATATAGCCAAGAACACTTAAAAGCATCAAAAAAGAAAGGACCACCCAGAGTCATTAAGACAGGAGTAATAAACCTAAATGCATTTTAGTCTAAATACACTATACACTAACTGTGTTCTGTCAGGCATATTGGAATGTAACTCATTCAGAATTTCAAGAAAACAAAACAAAACACTTAGTCTAGAATATACACCAGCTCTATGCCAGACCTTTCCAAAAGCCACAATTACATAGTTACTACAAAATCATGTCTTCCAAAGATGACAAATGACGATATATCTTCCCTTAATTAACCTTTTATGAAAGATAAAATGGTAACCACTAAAAAAGTTCCCAAAATGGTACCGTAGACTCAAAATGATGTTAGATTCTCACCATGTATTGGTGGTTCAAATTCAAATAGATGAAGATGTAAAAAAACTGAAAGAGATCCAATGGTGGAATATAATTGGGAGTCTGGGTAAAGTGAATGTGGAAAATCCCTTGCATTTATGGGAGCTTTCTAACCAGCTCTGAGATTTAAACATGTAAATCAATTACCTGATCGAGCACGCATTGCACTTGCTGAAGACATCGTTAGGCAGAAAAACCCACGAACAAACAACAACTGAAGAAAACTGCAGTAGAGGCCTGGCAAAGCATAACATAAGAGGAAACGCAACATTTGGTGATGTTCATGCGTTCCAGACTTCAAGCAGTCATTGACTGCAAAGGATTCTCAAAAAAGTAACATTTTATTTATGATTGTGTTAATCTGCCAATTACATTTAAGCCCTGAAATAAGGGTACAGTGTATCAAAATGGTTTAAAATTCCTATATGTTTCATACAATATTTTTGTTCAACACCTTGAATTAAAGCTGAACGTGTACATTCCAATCACATCTCAGTAGTTTCATTTTAAATCCATTGTGGTGCCATACAAAAATATTTCTGGACCTAACGATATTTAGTAATATGTCATAATGCACTCATATGAAAAAGAGCCTTGTTTGGCTCAAATGAAACAGCATCGAGTGATGCAATCCCCACTTATGGATAATGTTCTGCCAAATATATTCTCAGTGTTGTCATTAAAGGCAACACATAAACATAGTGCTGTCTACGGATGTATAGATTAACCCCTTAAGGACAGAGGCAATTATGCAAGTTCTGATCTTTTATGCAATACTAGTAAGACGCTGAGTATCGCCATACAGTTAACATCTGGCCACCTAAAAGTTATGATTTATGATATCATACTTTTATTTACATCTTCTGAGATGGGATGAGCGTTTATCATATTGTAGGACAGCTCATCCCGCCCAGACTCCGCCCTTACCTCTTGGGGCAGTAAAGCAATGGACTAGTTCCCATCCCTAATGGGAGGGCTTAGCCTCAGGATGGGACATCCTTGCCTGCCTTTGACCTGCCCCCTATTGTGAGTGACGATGAGAAATGGGGAGGAGCCTCTGTCCTGTGACGGAAGTGTCGGTATGAGTGACGTTGCAAAAGGGGAGGAGCTATCTCCCCCCCCCCCCACGGTAGACTTGCTGGCTTTCCATCTCTCGTCACGCCTACCCACACACCTGTAGATGGTCATCTGGGTGATTAAAAGATTATGCTGATTGGGTAAGGATGGCTTTATATATTTACCACAGAAACTGAGGTACTCTTTTCCCCTGACGAAGGTGCAACCACACGCACCCAGGTTCTTTTTTGTTTCTCTTATTCACTATGGGAGCATGAGGTGTTTAACACTCACCTTTATTATTTATTTTTAATTTGCAAGTTGGATTTTTCTTTTTAGACTTGAAGGCTTTAATGGGGTTAACTGGGATCTCTCAGTCTTAATATTTAGGGACAGCATAGAACACCCTTGAAGGTGTTTATGTAGGAGCCATAGGGACTAACAGTATAGCATGTCTCCCTTTTTTGATGATAACATAAAGAAAGCATAGAAGACTTTTTAAGGTGTCTGCTTTTGGGAGCCACAGGTTTTAATAGTACAGCATCCCCTCTCTGTTTACTGATTTTTAGCTTTCTTGCTATATCCTATGTGAGTTTTTGATTATTGAGAATTTCATTAGTTGCCATTAAGGGCTCTGCTAGGACTTATGTGTATATTTACCTATTGTTAGATTCTAGATACAGTCTCCCAGTCTATAAGAATTGCTGTCCCTGCTATCTTTAATAGTTAGCTAGTGTGCATGACTTACAGACCTCCCTACGGTTTAGTCGATTAGTTTACTTTTGGATGAGCAAAGTTAGTTTTTTATTAACCATTTTTGAATTTTCTTCCTATTTGGCTCTCCTTGTAGTGAGTTCAGTGCCTACTAACCTGGAAATATATAGTAGTTGAAAGGTCTGCATTGCATCACGGAGACCTCCAGATGATTTATATACCCCTTGCCATCAAGTTATCGTCCATCATGTATAGTGCCTTTAATTTTTATATATACCAATAAAGAATTTATTATTTTCCGTTGTTGGCACCTCTTGGGGTTAT